ACCAGAAGAAGCGATCACCACCCACGTGGAAGGGTTCCTGAGCGCTTACACTTATCCTTTCATGCTGGGTCTCCTCGATCCAATTATCGTAGACTTTTGCAAGAAATACCAAGTGACCCTCGGCTAAATTCACCCCTCTTTCTGGAGGATCGTGATACTGCTCCGTTTCTTCGTGAGCAAAATCGACGGGCTTGCTTTCACCCTTGACCACCTCATAAGGTTATATAGCCCTCGACTCTATCGAGGTGGGCTGATAAAGCTTCAATGTCGGGCCATCAAGGCGCTCATCTCGAGTATAGATGAAGACAAAGATCGGGGTTGGATGGGCCGGTTCGTTCGAGTGAAGACCACGGACCTAATCCCGGCTGAGAGCATGCTATTTCCTGAGAAGTGGAATAGGAAGTGTAAGTACGATTCCGTCTTTAATTTCTGTTCGTTGTTTTTACTCTTTTATCCTTTCTTATCAGTGTGTTTCTCGATGCAGTCGTTGCTTGCATGCTGGGTGCGATTCCCCACCTCAAGAACTGGGTTAGGAGCCTGGTTTCGACATCAACATACGCCGAGCGCGTATGGCATGATTTGTCAAAGGGTCGGTGGGAGGCTCGTACTCATGGTAAGCCTTCTTCCTAACTTACCGATTTGCCTATCGTTCAAGCATCTTCTCAAATAAGAGTTTACTTACTTTCTCCTTTTGCAGGTCTCGGAAAGGATGCGACTATGAGACCCCCGCCCGGTGATGAAGATGTTTCACCACCTATTTCGAAACCGGCGAAGGAGAATAAGAGGAAAAGGGCCTCGAACTCCGAGGGTCAAAAACCTAGGAAGAGAACAGACCGTAAATCCAAGGGGAACACAATTCCGCTGACTATGGAGTTAGTCCAAAGACTAAGGGAAGAAGAAGAAGAAGAAGAAGAAGAAGAGAAAGAAGATGATTGCGGGATGGTGGCCCGTGCGCGAGGTAGCACCGAGGTTCGGAGATCTTCAGAACTGGTGGGAGTTGATACTGCTCCGTCTAGGCTTGATGAGGTCGAGGAGGAGACTTCGGCTCAAGTCCCCGAGCCGAGAGAAACCGAAGATGTTTTATCTCTGGGCGAAGAGACCGTTGAAGAGGCAGTGGATGCCGGTGCAGAAACCGGGCTTGAGGCCCCCCAAGACGGAGGCGGCCCCAAAAGACCCACTTGGGGTAATAGAGATCGGGGATTCCCCCTCATTTTCTTCATTTTATGAGTTGATGATATGCGATGCTCAGGCCGTGGAGACTTGTCACGGGGAGGGAGCCCACGGAGAGGAAGATCCTTTCCGTGGTTATTTTGTTGGGTAGAAGACGTCACCGATCTGAATGACTTGGAGGCTCCGAAGAAGAGCTCGGGCGAGGCTTCCTCGAGTTTTAAACTGACCAATCGATTTTTGGCCCCTAGTGCCAATCCCGGGCATAAGCGAACATTCGTTATCATGGTCTTGGATGATGCCCGGGTTCTTGCTGCCCCTTGTAGGGGTGGCTAGCTACCTCCGATGTTTGGTCACAGAAGAAGACCAAGCCCAAATGGACGAGGTGGGAGTGCCTTGTCTTTTCAACGAATCCCAACAAGCCTTGAACCGGGTAATTTCATATTTTCTTTATCAATTTTCATACTTGTACTTCTCTCCCCTTGTATAATTTCTTCTTTCTATTTTTGTAGGCTTCTGTGCTTCATCACGAGGGTTTCTTTTAATCCCGAGGGGAGCTAAGCCGGTACGAAGCTGAAAACCGAGGGCTTACTGAGGAGAGAGATGCCTTCAAGTTTCTTAGTGAGCAGAGAGAAGGGGAAGCAAAAGGACTTCAAGCTGAGCTAGAAGCATCTCAGAAAGAACAAACTGATCTGGCCGAGTAGGTAAAAAGAATCTTTGAAGATAATGATACTGACTCGGGCGTGGTAGCTAACTGTTCGGTCCCACAGGTCCAGCGAAAGCTAGATGTGATTGGGCGGCTTCGTGAGGAAGTGGACGCAGTGAAAGCGGAGGCCGAGGCGTGGACGAAGAATATAGACCGCCTTGCCTCAGAAAAGGAAGTTGCCCGAGCTCAACTGGCCTCGGCTGAGACCCAACTCCAAAGCTTGAAAGAGAAAGCCTTGGTGCAAACCAAGAAAATTGAGGAGTTCCAGTATCGGTTGGGTTCAGCAACTTCCGATCGAGAGAAGCTGGCCACAGAACTTGCAGCGGCTAAATTGGAGGTCGAAACGGCCACGACTAATGCTGATGCAATGGTGGCCGTCTATCGGTTCGACTCTAAAGCTGCTCAGGTTTGAGCAAAGGAGGTTACCAAAGGTTCTCAGGCTCGAGCAAACTGGGTTGCCGAGCATGCTAAATGCCACTCTCGAAGAGATCCATGCTCGTGGATTCGATCTTACCGCCGAGATTGAAAATGCTAAGGAGCTCGAAGCTGAGGCCAGAGTGTTGGCCTTTCCTAATGATGATGATTCTGGGAGTATGAGCGGATCTGAAAGCGGAGAAGGCCTCGAGAGCGAAGATGTTGTTCCCGGAGAAGACTAAGTCCTTTAGTGTTTTTTGTATTTCTTTTAACACTGTTTTAGTTTTTTGTAGAGAAATCTGATCGGGCCATGTTGCCTTTGTAAATGATTTTTGACGTGTATATATATATAAACTTTCTTCCTTCTGCCTTATAAAATTAAGAAGTTATATTCTAGGGTCCGAGGTTTTGACAATTTGATTGAAACCGAACTAGTATAGCCCTTAGGCTTTACGATCGAGTGAGTGCTTGCTTGGACTCGAAGTAAGGTAATCCTTAGGTTTTTT